CCCTCTTCATTTCATTATCTATAATGAAACAGAGATTTTTAGTTTGTGCCAGTAAGTTTTACAAATACATGTTAGCAATACTTAAAAAGCTGGACTCACTTTCTATCACTTGCTTTATTCCTTTCTGGTCTCTTATAATGGTGCATGCTCATTTTTTGTTAGACAACTTACCTATGTCTTTAATTCTTAAGGATTTTCAATGAATACCATATTTTTTCTAATATGCTGCAATCTATTTTCTTGAGATGATACTCATCTTATAAAGATATTTTCAGAAGTAGCTTCTGTTCCCTGCCAGCATCATTCTAGTATAAGATCTCCAATTGTGTGCAGTACCTAAACCTTAAACAATCCATAGGCATCATTTATCTAAATATATATAATTTATGACAATTTTTTATAATAATATTTAATGGGAGAAACGTAACTTCCCTTTTTGAAAATATAGTATTCCCTCTTCATTTCATTATCTATAATGAAACAGAGATTTTTAGTTTGTGCCAGTAAGTTTTACAAATACATGTTAGCAATACTTAAAAAGCTGGACTCACTTTCTATCACTTGCTTTATTCCTTTCTGGTCTCTTATAATGGTGCATGCTCATTTTTTGTTAGACAACTTACCTATGTCTTTAATTCTTAAGGATTTTCAATGAATACCATATTTTTTCTAATATGCTGCAATCTATTTTCTTGAGATGATACTCATCTTATAAAGATATTTTCAGAAGTAGCTTCTGTTCCCTGCCAGCATCATTCTAGTATAAGATCTTTTTTTTTTTTTTTTCCTTTTCACAACTTCTACAGTAAAGAAAAAGTATTTTCTCTTCCTTATTGTTTCAGTGGATTAGCAAGAACCTCTGAGGTAGTTACCAGTCGGAAAAGATGACAGTGAAAAATCTCTATTTTTAAATGTTTCTATATATGCTGTAAGTAAAATCTAAAAATTTCACAGAAATACATGAATGTAGTATAACAGAAATGAGTAGTGTACACTGTGCATTTTAAAATATTACCTTACTCAGTATAGTTCAATAACAACCAAAAAATAAAAAAAGTCTTTGTGCACATATATGAGGAATTTTAAGAGGGGACTAAATACTTTAGATTTTATGAAAGGAAAAAAATTCAAGTAACTAAGACTGGGAAAAGAAACCAGATGGAATATAGAATTTATTATTCATCATAGAAAATATGTTTGTTATATTTGTGTATTTAGTACCTTTTTTCCACATGAGGTTCTCGAATCCTTGTGTAGTGTAGTATTACTACCCATTTCACAGATTACAAGGGGGTGGACTTTAAGTAATTTATTAAGTATCACACAGTGGACTAGTAAGGAACTGGGAACTAAACACAGTTTCTATATGCTAAAAGCATTGCCTTTCCAAATGCCTCACTGATATTTTGCACAAATGTTAACTCAAAAGCTTCTTATATATTGTTCTAGTGTTAAAATGTTAATATTTGTGTGTATGTAAAACACACACATACATTTTATGCCTACACACACACATACACGTGCGCGAGCGCACACGCGCCTCAGGATGGCTTTTGATGGAATTCTACCCCATCGCATGATTTTAATAGGTCTTTTAAAAATGCTCCTCCTTAAAGAAAGTTTCTTTGAAGTAATATAGATACTACCCAGGCAGATGCTGTGTTAGATTTAAACTAATGTGCAATATTAAAAAACAAAGAAACCAACAAATTGAAATCGATCTTTAAAACAATCTGAGAATGTTACATGAAATTGTTGTATAGATAAGTAGATATATGCTAAGAATATTTCTATAAAATTATGGGTCATACACTCTCTTTGTAATTGGTTTAGATGCCAGGTTGCAACTTTGACACCATTACTTATAACTTACCAAAGAGATTTATGCCTTGCAAGTGACATTTTAAATTGAAGATTTAGTTGAACTGGTACCTAATGTGTTTTCTGTAATTAATTCCTTTGAGGTCAGGTTTCTTGGACACAGAATTCCTTTAACATTAATCCCTCCTTTAGCAATATCTTTATCGTTGGAATTAACAGATGAAAAAAGTTAATCTTTTTGAAGTAAGTTTTCCAGTGCCAAGTACGGTTATTTCAGCAATTCAAGATTTTCATAAAAGTATAAAATGTCTTAAAAGATACTATGGAGTCAATGTAAGAAAAAAGATTGAAGTTAACTTAATTATGTATTAATAAAAAATGAGAATTTAATTATGTAGAGGTTTCAGTTCTTGATAGAGGGACTGAGTTATAGAGTCCTTCTATTACTATTATTCAGTTTGTACATAATATCTAAAACTTAGAAGCTTTATATGTTTTTTCTGTTTATTCATAAGATGTTATATAGATTATTTCATCAATAGCATAATTTGCTGGAAGACAGTATATAATAAATTATTGAATGAATGACACTTTGACCACAGCTGACTTTCTAGTTTTAAGAATGATAACAATACATTCAAAAGTTGGGAGGTAAGCAACTGGATATATAATGACTCAC